CTATTGACCCCATCACTGGAAAGAAACTGAATTCAGGTTTATTATCCCTGCCTAAAGGTCACAGGGTAAGGTATCTTCCCAAATAGTGGTGGTTCTACCCAAGATGTGTAGGTACAGCAAGTTACACAAACTGGGCTCCACTCACCAGGGAGGGCTAACATCAGAGATGTCTCACTCATCTCTTTTTTCTGTTTGGCCTCAAGCATTTTCTTTTTTCTCTACCCTCATGAATCTCAGTAGCCATTAAGGTAACAAACAGTCTCTTCTATCTTTTTCTGCTGCTTCTTTCTATGAATAGTAGTTTTAAGAAGACATTTAAAAATCTACAAATTAAAACTGAAATAAAAAATAGATATCAGAATATAGAGCTGGGTGGAATGCACTCGTAACAGATGGCTGCCCCGATCAGAGTATTGAGTGTAGAGTTTGCTAAACCAAATCAGCGGTAACGTCTTCGACGCAGGGCTCAGGATGGAAAGCACTTATTTACCCACCCACCCATGGAGGCACGCATCCAGCAGACACGTGTGGGATGGTCATGATGGTAAAGGTTAGGGTTCCTCATCCTGGGGACCCAAAGACCCTTGAAGCCTAGACTGTTTATGTTCTCCTTGCAACAAGGTTCAGGATGTACTCACAGAAACTGCTATCTTGCCTAAGATGTCCTCTGGAATTGTTTGGCCTTTATCAATCACTTGTTTGTAGAACTTATCTAGCGACGTGTCCATGAGCTCCATGCAGATCCACACATCACCCTGGAGATCAGTCCGTTCAAGGATGGTCAAGGAGGGTGGAAAAGGGGGAGAGAAGAAATGGTCAACACCTTGTCCTGAGGAGGAAAAGGTACAGTTCCCCTTCAAGATCTCAAAGCGATTTGTAAATGAGCAAGATGAGCTCCAAAAAGCAACACAGGCAGCCTGGGCCCGTGAGCGAGGGGAGAAAAACTGTAAGTCATTATTCTTCTCGGACTTTGAATCAAAGGATCACCTACCTCCCGGAAGAGGGC